GAATTAATATTATTAAAGTTACTAATAAAACCGAGAATAAAAATTGATTTTAAATTTTATTTGAAGATTTTAAATATTTAATTTAGAAACATTATTTATGGTTTTATGAATTTATAAATATTTTTAGATAAATGCTATTCTGATAATTAATAATTCTTATTTTAAACATATATTTTTTTATAAATTATTTTATGTTCTATATTTTCAATTTTTTTATAAAGGTTTAAAATATTGTTTCAAAGTATATGTATTTGATAATAATAATTATTATCACTTTTAAAATTTATTTGTATCTTTGTGCGCTTCAATTTTTGGTTTTAGGGTTTTTATTTTTTTTCATTTCGTATAAGTTTTTTGTACACTTTTAATATTAATAAATTCTACTATATTATTTTATTGATTTTAAGTTTTTTAATTTTTGTTTTAAATTCTCTTGTTCTTTAACTTTTTTTGGAATTGAAAGAGAATTTTATATTCATCAACTTTAAAAAACTTAATTCTTTTCAGTCCTTGATATATAAGACATATTTTTTTAAAAAATATTTATAATTTTTTAAATTTATAAATATCTCAAATATTTGTTTTTGTGATTATTAATTTTTAGTTTATATTTTTTATATTTTTCATAAGTCATTCTGTGTTTTATATTTTTGGATTTTTATATAATTAAAATTCTAGATATTATTATAATATAGATTATTCTATAAGTTATTATTCTAAATATTTTTTAAATATTCTTTTTAGAAATGATAACGATTATATAAATATTTATGTATTCATTTGAATTTTTTTTAGAATTAAAAGTATACATTTTAAAATAAGTAAAATTAAGAGTAAAGTATAGAATAGTAGTTAATTTTAGAATATGTTTTATAGTTTTATTTATGTTTAAATGTCTCTAGAGTAGTATGGGGTAAATCAGGAGTAAATATAAATAACGCAAAAATGAATAGAAAATATAATATAAAAAGTATGACTAGTAAGAAAATGGCTTAGTGAAAAATATAGGTTAATTAGAGAAAATAGAGTTTTTAAAAAAAAATTCAATCTAAATTGACATAGTTGACACAAAAGAGACTATTTTTAATTTATTTTGCAGTCCTTGTCATTTTACTTGCTTATCTATTAAACATACGTGCTTTTTTTTAAATTCTGCTTATATATTTCTTAAATGTTCATTAAGTGTTTTTTATTTATTAGTGTAAATATAATTTTTTCAATTAGAATTAAAAATAAGTTTTAATTTAAAAATTTTTTACTTGAAATGATTTAAAATTTTATTAATTTTGAGTTAATATTTTTAGAAAATAAAAATTCAAAAAAAATAAAAAATGTCTAAAACATATTTTCTAATACAACATACTTTATAATACATTTTATGTAAATAATAAGAGCAAGTATAAAAATTTTTAAAAACAAATTTTATATATATTTAAAGATTTTTTTAAAAACTAATATTGAATAACTGGTTTAATGTAAAAATTATAATTTTTAGTTTTAATGTATTTTTATTTTTTATAAAGAAATTTTTTTATAAAAAAATTAATTTATAAAAATAAATTCATTTTCATTATCTATTTTCTAGATTATATTTATGACAAAAACTAATATTCTATATGATTCAATGATGATGCCTTATGATTTAATCTGGTTTTTAATAATTAAATTTTAGTTTTATTGTTTTATTTTCGATAGTTATTTAGTTTTTAATATTATTTATATCCTATTAATATATTTGTGAAAAATAATCAATAACTTTTATAATAACATTATTATCAAAATCGAAATCATATTAAGTTGAAAAGTAATAACCCAAATTACATTATGTTTAGAAGATATAATTTATGAGTCAAAGACAAAACTGGTTTAATTTTAATATCAAGCCGGCTTACTAGGCTTGGAATTTTTAAGTTTACCATAGTTTCGTGATTGATTATAGCATGCTTTTTCCAATATTGTACAATTAGTAATATTTTTAAAAATGTCTGATAAACTGTGACATTCATAAAGATGTACATTCTGGCAAACTAGGAGGTTCTCCTACATATAGTAAGTCTCTTTCTAAATCATCGCGCCTTGCTGAAAATCATGAAATAGCCTATGAAATAAGTCACCTAGGGAAGTTACCGGGGGGGGGGGGGGGGTGATTAGGGGTAGGGTGCAAACACCATCTAAATAAGACCTCGTTAGTCCCTCCAATCTTAGCACATACATTTAGAATATGTTGGTATAAATTAGAAGCATCAGAGGATTGAGGTAGATGGGATTGATTAAAAATGCTAAAATCACTGGATGATATTTTTTCTTTAAGTGAAATCTTTTCATACCCAGCGTATAACAGAGTTCTTACATTTTCACATAAATTCTTAATACCAGAACAACCACGTCTAAAATAACTGCATTCTTTTACTAACATTTGATATTGGGGTGTAGTGATATTGTTTGTTGTGCTGTTCCATAGTATAGTTCAAACGCCATTAGTAGAAGTAAGACCTAAATCTTCAAATGTTTTGTTTAAATTGATACATGTTGTATTCATCTTTTTATCCAATTTTTTACATTCATCAGTTTGTTTACTTTCACAATATGCATGAAGATTAGGAAACATACCATCAAAAGCCATACAATTTTCTTTAATAAAATTCATGCATCTTTTCTCTAAAGTAAGAGTAGATCTTCCTAGGGAAGATAAAAACGTTAAAAGAGGAGTAAGATATGGAGCTTTATACGGTGATAAAACTCCATTTTCTTTTTTTCTATAAAAAAAACCAAGCTAAATCTACGTTTTCAAACGTTGATCTGCATTTGCCTAAAGAAAGGTTCTTTACGAAATCCATATCTAGATCAACTTTTGCGGAGCATTCTTTTATTATTGGCTTGCAAAGATTCTCTGTTGTTTTGTTATGACAGAGTAATAAATAATAGTCACAAGCGTCTAACAATGAACAGTTATTTCTTGTTATCTTTTCCTTATAACCAGTGATATGCTCTTGTTTTCCTGAGAAAAAATTTTCAATATAAGAATCCAAATATGGACAAGGTAGTACTTTGTATAACCTCTTTTGGGCTTACTATGGTAGAATCTTGTTCTGAATTAACGGATACATGTAACCACTTTAATCAATGACATTTTTCAAGAAGAGTGTCAACACATTTGGTATAAATATATTTATGTTTTGGTTCATTATGTATCGGTTGATTAGATAGTGTTTCTTTTCCTATAAATTTCAACAATATATTATCTTCAGTATCTTTAGCGATTTATGTGGCAAATTTAATAGTCTCTGTTATAAAAAATATACTAATCAAACCATAGCAAATTTTTTGAAAAACTATATACAACGTTCCATAATTTTCGCAATCTTCCGTTTCTATTCTTGCATTCCACTCTCCTGTAAATAAAGTTTTTCCTAAATGATAATAATATTTGAGTTTATCCTTTATACCATTACATTTTTTTATATAAGTCTTTTTAGTATGACCTTCAGTAAAGAGACCTTTGCAATAAGTATTTCTTTTATTTAAGTTGCATAATCTTTATAGTATATTAGTAAAATTTTCTCCTGGTAACTTTTTTACGAATCTTTCACATAAATATTTTAAATATAATTCACACTTTTCTTTAGTTGTGATAGATTCTTCTAATATAAGACTATACATAGAAATATCATCCTTTAAAACCATAAATCATGTAGATGAAGATAATGAGTGTTCTGATAAGGAATTAGCTAATTCAGAATGTGTTGATGAGCTATAACTTCTAATTTTTTTTGAAGTAAATAAATTTAAGTTTTCTTTTGATTCTAAAAGACAAAAATTAAAAAAAAAAAAAAAAACGAAAAAGAATAAAAATACCACAAGTATTAATGTCTCTTGAAAAAGCATACGATATTGTGCTTAAAATCACAAAGATCATAAAGAAAAAAGCTTTTATTTAGAAAGACGACTTGCTTCAGTTGTCTTCATTATGAATTTAGTATTAATATTATTAAATTTGGTTTCAGATTTTAGAATAAAAATACAAATTATTGAATGTTAAATTATTGATATTATCTTTTAGTTTCCTAATTAATTACAATATTTTTATAAAAATATAAAAGAAATTGATTTTTTACAAAAGTTATAGTATGAAAAATATAGTATTAAATATAATTTAAACTGTATTTTGTTTCAAATAATAGTATCATTTTTATGTATTTTACGTATTTTTTATATATTCTTTAATTTCAATTATTCTATTTTTTCGTTTATCGTTTTAGCAGAATTGTTAATTTATCTTTAAATTCTTATAAATGATTATGTTTATGGAGAATTACTCTTTTATTTTTATTTATTCTTTAGATTTATTGCTTTATATTGTATTGTTTCATTTTATCTTAAATATGATATTAAAAGAATTACTAAAAATGAAAAAATTGTAGTCTCTTATGAGTACGAAGTGTCCGATATATCTTTTAATTGCGTCTGAGTAAGCCCCGCAATAATATAGGGTAACTGTGGAGTAAATAAAGTAAATTTATTAGTGGATTATAAAAGTAGCGATAAATAACTGATAAAGAAACCATGAATTATAGAGAAATCTATTGTAAATCAATGAAAAGATACTACTCTTTATTTTATTTTTTAGTCTTTTCTGCTATTTTGCTTGCTTGTTTCTTTAAAATATACGTGCCCTTTTTTAACCTTTTTCATCCATTCATCTTTTTAGATCATAACCGAAATAACCGCTACTATTACTACTTTTGTTGGATTTCATTCATTCTTTTCCAATTTTCTATTTTGTTTCATATCATTCGGTTATCCTCTTGTATATCTTGCGTAGATTTAGAGCCTTGTTAACATTAACATTGCAGTTAATGTAATTGCATATTTATTGTAAAAGTGTTGATGTGTATTGATCTGCACGTAACTCACGTGTTTTTTGTGCAAATTGTCGTGCATTTTCTCCTCTCCTTTCGTATTTCATGCTTCGTTTAAGGTATTAGATATTTCTTTGCTTTTATTCATTTTTTCCTTAGTACCGTTATATAAATCCTTTAATTGAGGTAAAAGACTACAAAGTTTATGACAACTTTCAATGTAAGTTTTACAATTATTTAAATAATTATTTGATAATAATACTAAAAGATCAATTGTATTTTTTATCTCTAGTTTTCCAATTTTGTCTCTGAATAATTTTTCTTTACATTCATCATTAAATGTTATTGCAATTTGATTGAAAGTAGCATTCCTTAAATAATGAATTGCATTTTTCTTTTGATATTTCAGTATTTCTGATAAAAATTTATGCTTTAAATTTTAAATTACTAAATTTTTCTTCCATTAATTTTATGAGGTCTTTACATCTGTTCAAGGGAGTCAGACAAAATTTCATTAGTTTATCGATTTCTTTCATAAATAGACATTTTTTATTAACTATTTTTTCATAGTTTTCTTCAGTTTTTAAATTGTTAGTGAAAACTCTTAGAAGGGATTCTGTTGTCAAACTATCTTGTTCTTTTCATTACATAATATTCTTAAATAATTACATTTTTTTAACTTCCACTGAACATGCTCCTTCCATAAACATACATTCATTCTAATATACACAATATAAAACATTTTTAGACAGTTTAGTCTGGATATCTTGTAAACTTTGTTCAAGTGCAGTATATCTTCTTGTAATACTTTCTTTTGAATTATTACACTTTTCAGTTTTGCTTTTTGGCATAGTTCTTTTAATGCTCCAATGGAGCTTTTTAGCATTTAAGCCTTCTCTTTTAAATCTTTACAGTATTTTTTTACCTTTGCTTGACATTGATTATTCATTGCATCTTTTAGAATTAAAGCAAAAACGTTTTTTCACTAGATAAACAATATTAATTTTACAAATTCTAGTATTAAAGGTTTTTATATGTTATATGGAATAATGAATTTTGCAATGAATTTTGTGATGGATTTAAAGATTCTTTATAAATAGATTTTAAAAAAAATTAAAAATCTAAAAAAGTAAAATATAATACCAATACTTCTTGAGAAAGCATATGCTATGCTAAAAAAAAACTGCTAATACGAATGCTTTCATTTATAATAACAATAAATAACAAGTTTTATAAGAAATGTTTCATATTTGACCTAAAAATAAGTAAATTTTGAAAATTAGTAAATGATAACATGATTAATAATGGATATATAATAAATAAATAGAAAAATAATTATTGTTTTCTATTAAAGTTGTATAATTTATCTCTTTAGTCATTTTAATTTTATACTTTATGTTTAAACTTTTGTAAAAACTATTTTTAAAATATAAAGTTTTAAATAATATGATTTTATTAATTTAATGTAAATTGAAATTATATATATAATATTTGTATTTTTTTTTTAAATTTTTCGTTGATTTTTTTTTTTTTCTAGAATTCAATTATAAAAATAATTTTTAAATAATGATTATTTTTTTTAAGTGATTTTTGTTATTTTGATTTTTATATACTTTTTTATGTTCAATTATATGTTTTTTTGGATAATTTGTTAACTCTGATTAAAAATGTTATTTGTAATTCTGAAAATTCATAAATAATTTTTAAATATAATATTTATTCAATGATTATTTGTTTTAGTTTGGATTTTCTTGTATTTTTATTATAAATTATTTATATTTCATATGTTTAGCTTTTTATAGATTTAAAATTTAGCATATTCTTATAAACTTTTTTTTATAAATCCTGTTTAAAATATCTAATAATGATTGTCTGAATAATTTTGACTTACGTCTATTAATATATATATACTTTAGTTGTAAGAAAAACTTTTTTAATAGAATTATATAAGTATTGATAATATATTTCAAAAAACATTAAAAAGAATATTTAATTTTAAAGTTCTATAATTTTATTTCTCGCAGATTTTTGCTAGGCATGTCTATATTTGAGTAGCCCATGGGGTAGAGAGAATAAGTAGAAATGAAAAGGAAACGTAAAAATTAAATGAAAATTAAAATATAAAAAAATATGAACGAAAAAAAGGTTAGTTTGGCTAAGAAAATAGTATGTAGTATGGGTTTTTATTTTTCAATATTTTTTAGTATTTTTGCCTGTTTTCTATTTTATTTATATTTATAAATATCATTATCTTAAAATAGCTTTACTAGATCCGTAAAGCATTTAAGCATTTTTTGAAAATAGATTAAAAATCAAGAAAAAAAATCAAGAAAAATAAGTAGAACCAAAGCAAACTCTTAAGATTTGTATTAAAGAACAAGATACAAAAATAAATAAGCTTAGCAACTTTTATTAAAATTATCAGTAAAAAGAACTTATTTACATTTTAATTATAACTAAATTCTATTTTTAGGATAAACAACAAAAATATATGAATGCATTTATTTTCGAGAACTATTTACATTTTTTAAAATCTTATTGACAATAAATTATAAAGGTAAAAAATCGTTTTTAAATTATGAATTAAATATTTAAAAATTGTAATCTTGGTTCGATATTCATAAATTAATCGCGTTAATCATTATAAGAAATGAAAAATTGTTTTATATTTATTTTTCAAAAATATTTGATGATTTAAGTGTTAAATATATTTTGTAAAATGAAGATAAACTGCTTTGATTTTAAATGAATATCCATAGTCCTAGCATTATCCCTGTAATCATCCATATTAATTTTATTCTTTGTAATTTTTCTAGTCTAATTCCAATGCCTATTATACGTCTATCATCAGATGATGTTGGTCCAGGCCTTGGCAAACATGTAGTAGTTGGTTTAGGCTTTGGTAAACATGTCGGTTTAGGTTTTGGCAAACATATAGTTGGTGAACTTAATGTAGTTGAATTTGTCGGTTTTGGCATTGGTGTCTCTGGTTCTGGTTCTGGTGGTGGTGCTGGTTCTGTTGGTGTCTCTGGTTCTGGTTCTGGTGGTGGTACTGGTGGTGCTGGTGGTTCTGGTTCTGATGGTTCTGGTGGTGGTTCTGGTTTTGGTGGTGTTGGTGGTTTTGGTGTCTCTGGTTCTGTTGGTGCTGGTGGTACTGGTTCTGGTGGTGGTACTGGTGGTACTGGTGGTGCTGGTGGTTCTGGTTCTGATGGTTCTGGTGGTGGTTCTGGTTTTGGTGGTGTTGGTGGTTTTGGTGTCTCTGGTTCTGTTGGTGCTGGTGGTACTGGTTCTGGTGGTGGTACTGGTGGTGCTGGTGGTTCTGGTTCTGATGGTTCTGGTGGTGGTTCTGGTTTTGGTGGTGCTGGTGGTGCTGGTTCTGGTTCTGGTGGTGGTACTGGTGGTATTGGTGCTGGTTCTGGTGCTGGTTCTGTTGGTGTCTCTGGTTCTGGTTCTGGTGGTGGTTCTGTTGGTGCTGGTGGTACTGGTTCTGGTGGTTTTGGTTTTGGTGTCTCTGGTTCTGATGGTTCTGATGGTGGTGCTGGTGGTGCTGGTTCTGGTACTGGTGGTTCTGGTGGTGGTTCTGGTGAAGATATATTGTTACATTTTTGAATGAAATTAGTACATATATCAACAATTTTTTCGCTAACTTTAATGCAAGTTGATTGTGCATAAGAACATGTATTTACTAATTCATTGCATTTGGTAGCAAGTTCAGAGTTAGTGTCGGTTGTAGATTCAAGAATTTTTAACATTAATTCACGGCATCCTGTAGTTACTTTTTCCTCTAATTCTTTACATGCATTAGAAATGTTGTTGCATAGAGTAAATGTTTTTTGTTCTTGATTGTCATTACACTTCATTTTTAATTTTTGCATACACTTCGTATGATTAAACTGTTCGTCTTTAATTTCAGTATATAAATTATCCAATTCTTTTTTTTTATTTAAGAGATTAGTACATTTAGCTCTGACTTCAGCACATATATTGCCTAAAGATCCATAACAATTTTTTTCAAGCATATTGCAATTATCAAGTAAATAACTACAATGATTATGTTTAATTGGATCTTCTATTGTCCCTGATAATCCATAATATGACAAACCTGAAAATCCATAATAGGACAAATATCGTAAAAATCGTGTGCAGTGTTGTGAAACATGTTGTATCATTTGACGACAGGTTTCTTCTTTCTTAGCGCATATAGAAGTAGTTGCAAGATTTTCTTCAGAGCAGTATTGGGTAAGATAATCTACACACTTATCTTTATTCTCTAAATAACTATCATTTTTTTTAAGTATTTTGTTTTCATGTTGAAGCAGGTTTGGTAGTTCAGAACATTTTTCATTAAGAATAGAGCATGAATGCATTGCACCTGAGTGATATGCTCTCAACGTATCACATTTTTTCTTTAGTTCAATGCAAAGATCTAGTGTAAGTACTTCTTTATTTTGAGTTATTTGAGTTTCTAATGTTTTGCGTTGTTCATCAATATATTTTGTTATATTCTTACATGTTTCCTCCGGATGAAAACATTTGTGTAATGCATAGTAATTGTGGTACATATAATTACTGCAATGAGCTAAAAGAGCTTTTTTACAAGAAGTTAATGAGTTTTTTAAATCATTCACTTGAAA